GCCTGCGGGAAACGGCCGCGGGCCCCCCGCGGGCTGCCTGGAGGCCGCGTGCGTGGAGCCGGAGCCAGGCGAGAGGGGCCCAGTCAGTCAGACACTCAGTCAGGCCCGGCGCTCAAACAGCGCACTGGCGCGAGCAAAAGGATCGTTAGAGTGAATGGCGCCACTCTGCAGAGGAAGGGAAAGAACAGGCGGGGGGGGGAAGAGACGGAGGCGGTGAGGAAGAACCAAAGGAAGCCAAACCGCGTGGGGCCCACTGCTGTCCAGAGCGGGGCACACAGTAAATATATGCACAAATGCCAGGGTTCCCCATACGTTCCGATTCTTCCTGGGTTCCAGTCGTCACCTCCACTTCCCAAATATTCGTGTACGTTCCTGGGCATCGACGGATATTTGTGTCCGTGTTTTTTTCGGGCGTTGGCAGAACTGGGTCTAGTGGGACCTGGTTTAGTGATGTGTACTTGAGGACGCCCCCCGCCCAGTTCCACTAACCAGAACAGCAGTCACCCGAGAAAACACCAGCTACGGCAGACCTGGTTTAGTGACCCTGGCCATTTTAGGGGCTCCAGGGCCCTACTACTACTACTAACCAGGTCCCCTTACCTGGGGTCCTGGCTATACCCGATTTCGCCCCTCCCGACAGACGGGCGCGGCCATCGGGCGTTGCTTCACTGCTGGATGGGGAGGCCACCATCTGGAGTCTCGAAACGGTGCGGTGACAGACCGTGCGGTGACCTCGAAATCCCTTAAGACCTCACCACATGGTCCGTCACCGCACGGTCTTGGGACCCCAGAGGCCCCTGCCGCCCAAGCATCCTCTGAGAACGACCCGACTCCCAAAATCGTGCGGTGACCCCGAATCCCCACCGACTCACCGCACGGTGTGGTCACCACCCCGTTTGGGGGGCCGCGGCATCAGCGGACGGAGGAGAAGGGTGCATCTCTCGTGCACCTCCGGGGCCCCACGGGGCTCCTTCAGAGCCCCTTTCCTGCAACCCCTCGATCCCCCTCCAATTCATCGCCCCGCAAAATTCTACGGAACGCCAGGAGCTGTGCAAAAAGATTGGCCTCCGGAGACGCGTGGGGCCCCCCAGCCATCAGGGAATCTGCCTGAGAGACACCGCCCCCCCATGATGGGCCTGTTTTCCACCACCACCACCACCACCACCATAAGTTGGAAGGGGGAAGGAGGAGGAGGACGAGGAAGAGGACGGAGAGGACGGAGAGGAGGAGGAGGAGAAGGAGAAAGAGGACCGGACCCCCTCCCCCTCCAACTTCTGGGTTGTGGTGGAAAGCAGGCCCATCCGCCGTGTGGCTGGTTCTGGAAACCATGACCGCAAAAGCCTTGCCCTCTCTTGGCGGGGCGATTTTGGCTTCCGCTGATATCCGCGGGCCTTCGGCCGGCTCCCGCCGGCGGAGCCGCCCTCGTATTACTTCCGCCACCATTCCGCCGCCCTTCCGCCGAGGAAGGCCAAGGCAGGGCCGTTTCTGGAACGCCGCATGTATCTAAGACGAGGGCAAGACAAGGACAAATTCGGGTGAGAAGCAGCCGAGAACCTCTGAGATCCCGCGGCTCCGGAGGATGCATCGAGCGTCGCGACCTCCTCAGAGCGTTCCGCAACGCTCTGAGAGCGTCCTGGAACGCTCTGGAACGGACTGAGCCTCGTCCTAGCCCTGTCCGACATGACCAGGACTGAACGTGGAAACGTCGGTGTCCATCTTGGTCACCTTCTCATCATGGTCATCGTCAATTCGTGGATCACCCTCGCGAAGCGGCGACGGCCGGCATTGGGCCATGACCGATATCGGCGTCGATAAGATTCCACGGCATCTTGGTCATGGTCACCGTTTTTCTCCCCTCGAATACAAGAGCCCCTTCCTCCAAGATCCCTCTCTTCGTATCGACCCCCCATTGCGACACGCCCGGTATCCTCCAACACCATCTGCGCTGGCCCCGTGCGGGCGGCCCGGACGGGCGGCGGGGGGGCCGCCCCCCGCGCGAGCCCGCCGGATGGCCGCAGGCCTCCCCAGATCGAGATGTTGACAGAACTATGGTCATCAGAGGTCGTCGACGTCGTCGTCCTTGTCCTCCTTATCCTCGCCCTTCTCCGCACCATCACCCATCACCATCCATCATCACCATCACCACAATCACCATCATCATCATCATCATCAGCATCATCATCATCATCATCAACACCACCACCACCAACGTCATCAGCATCATCATAATCAGCAGCAGCAGCATTATCAGCATCATCAATACCAGCATCAGCATTATCAGCAGCATCATAATCATCAGTATCGTCATCATGATCAGCCTCCTCCTCCTTCTATCCTCATCACCATCATCATCATCATCATCAGCATCAGCATCAGCATCAGCATCAGCATCATCAGCATCATCATCAGCATCATCATCAGCATCATCAGCATCATCATCAGCATCATCGTCATCAGCATCATCATCAGTATCAGCACCACCATCATCACAACCATGATTATCAGCAGCAACAACGTCACCATGATAATGCTGTTATGTGTTCACGACTGTAGTCCTGATGATACGGATATTGCTGATACTGCTGATGTTGCTTCCATCAAAATGATTATTACCATGCACTTTCCCTCTCCCCGACCGTCCCCTCACCCATTCCCCCTGGCCCCTATCACTCCCGTCCCTTTCGCCACTCCCTTCCGATGTCAACCACCGCACCCCTGCTGCGGGCCTCCGGACGTGGGCAACTGCCACACCCACTCTGCGACAAATGGGTGTGGATTTCGTGCCCCAAACAAATCGGACATCCCCACGTACGACTTCTGTCTGAACGACTTCTGTTCGAGGCGCCAACGCAGGACTGGGATGCAGATCTGGCACGCGGGCACGGGAGGGGAGATAATCCACATGATGCGTCGGTCGACGCCACCCCCCAGAACCATGAAACCTGTCTCACCTGATTCGGCGACGGCCCGCGCCGACACTTTGGGGCGCGTCTTGTTGCGGGAAGTGGTGATGATGAAAGTCGACACAGCTCGGCCGTTGCAGCGCAGAACATGTCGAGCGCCACCCCCCTTGTGAGTTGGCGGGGGACGCGCGGCCGTTACAGTGGCAAACGATGGCGCTGTCCGATCTCCAACCTCCAACCTCCAATCTCCGACTCGCTGGGGCACCGTGGACCTCCTCGCTGGAAGCGGACCGCAGGTGATACTGGTGTCGCGTCTCCTCCCTCCGCGGTCTTCGGACCTCGATCCTCCCTCAAAAATCCCTACCTGGACCTGTCCAGGGGTGCGCGCTTGCCGAAGGTTCCAGGCGGATCCAGCCGTGGCGACGAGGGAGCCCCAGGACGCGCAATAACTGATGACAACAACAAGAAAATCGGACCTCGACCTTCGATCCTGGGAGCACCAACCACCCTCCCACCCCGAGGGGCCTGTCGCAGGTCGAGGCACCTCCTCCTCAACCGCGCCACCCAAAGCGAAATTGAGCAACGTCGGTGTGGAGTCGAAGGGAAGCTCCTTCCCTTCGAGGGGGTCCCGGGTGGGTCCCTGAGGGGTGCTGGCGGTGTCTGGGGGGGGGTCGCCACCCAGATACGCTTCCCCCCCGCGCGGTCCCAGAAGCCCGAAGAGGTCCCCAAGAGTTCTCCACGAGACCCGATGCCGCCGGCGCCCCCAGAGTCTCCAACAGGGTGCCCTAAAAGGGGGAACCGAACCGACATTTCGAGCCCTCGGCCCCGAGAGGATCCCAAGAGGCCCCAAGACGCCCCGAAAGGCCAGGAGGAAGCCCCAAGAGGCTCCCAAGAGGCTGCCAAGAGGCTGCCAAGAGGCTGCCAAGAGGCCTCCAAGATGCTCCCAAAACCCCAACACTGCGCCCAGAGGCCTCCGAGAGCGCTCCGAAGAGACCCCAAACAGCATCCCTGAGGACTCTGACCCACGTCGGCGTCGTCGTCGTCGCCGCCGCCGCCGCCGTCGTCGTCGCCGCCGTCGTCGTCGTTGTCCCCCTTCAGGGTCGGCGGCACCGGCTGCAAGGCCTTCGCAGTCAGACCTCAACCCTCCCTCGATCCTGGGAGCACCAACCACCCTCCCACCCCGAGGGGCCTGTCGCAGGTCGAGGCGCGATTTCCTCTGCCGCAGCGCCTCCACCATCTGCGCCGCGGGCGCGCACTCGCCAGACTGCGCGGGGGCGGGGCGGCGAGCGCGGGAGCGGCCGCCGCAGTTCTCGTCATCGGCGCCGCTGCCGCTGCCAGGGACGCCAACAGCTGTGACACCCACCGCTTCGGAAGCCGACTTCCCAAGACCCCAGGAGGCAGTGGGCATGGACACCGTTGGGTCCCAGGAAGGCCCGAATTGATCCACGCCCACCGCCTCCCGAGGACCTCGAAGGTCGCTGCTCCTCCTCCTCCTCCTGCTCCTCCTCGTCCTCCTCCTCCTCCTCCTCCTCCTCCTCTTCCTCCTCCTCTTCCTCCTTCTCCTCCTCCTCCACTTCCTCTTCCATTATCTTCCTCTTCCTCCTCCTTCTCCTCCTCTTCATCCTCCTCCTCCTCATCCTCCATTCCTTTCCCTTATAAATAAATTCTCCCAGTCGCACCCCGAGGAAGGTCGAAAGGGCGGGCTGGGCGTTTCGTATGAGACGTCCTCACCGCGTACAACCCTGATGCTTAAACAATGACAACACTTTCAGGAATGGAGGGCGGGTCGTTTCAATCTGTGGCTCTGGCCTTGGCGCCGCGCACACTTGCGTTGAAATTTGCAAGTGATTCACGGATTGACGGCGGGCGGTTTTCAAAATGTGGCTCTCGCCCTAACGCCGCGCACATGCGTCTTACAAATTTGCCAGAGCTTCACGGGTTGAGGGCGGGCGGTGTTCAAAATGTGGCTCTCGCCTGAGCGCCGCGCCTATTCGTTTTGAGAATGTGCAAAGTGTCACGGATTCGAATAGTCAGCGCACTATGCAGGAATGTGAGGGTGCAACAATTATGTTGATGTGCGGTGTTGAAGTCTCAGGAATGGTTCTCTGACACGATACTGGATCGTCAAGACGCGAAAGTCTGGTTAATCTGTGGCGTTGGAGTCCCGAGAATGGTGTTTGAGCATGCTTCAGGGTCTTCAAACGGTTGTCTCCCAACGAGGCATATTCCCCATTAGAAATGAACCCCTGCAGGGGCATATGAGGAGGAAGCTTGGAAGGAGGGTTTATTCCAACATCG